GGGGCGGGAAGAAGAACAGAGTGGAGAGAGAGAGAGAGAGAGAGAGAGAGAGAGAGAGAGAGAGAGAGAGAGAGAGAGAAGGGGGTCTCAGTGATGAGACTGTAGCGCAATAACTCGCTCGCCCCTTCTCTCTCTCTCTCTCACTGCAGCAGTCTCAGCTAATCAGCGTGAGTCACAGCCAAAACCCGATGCGAGATTCGCGCACACACACACACACACACAAAGCTGCATCTGCACAAACAGCTGTATTGACACACACACACACACACACACACACACATAGTATCTGCCACTGGGGGGTTTTTGTTCAAACATTTACACAATTGGTTTATTTACCTAAAAAACATCAAAACAACAACAACAAATCACAGAAGGATCTAACAAACACTACATCAGTGGCACGAGCACATCGACTGCATGAGCCACGTGATGATTTCAGCACACACTCAGAGCGGTTCATCAGCTCATCTGAATATTTTAATCATCTCGATTTATCTCAGGAAACTGACAAAATGACATTATGATTGCAATAACAAGCCTTTGAGCTGCAGGTCAATTCAACATACAGTCAGCCATAATCACATCAGATGCACAGAAATAACAACTGTCTTTATTTTTAGCGATATTTTTCATGTGGTAGCAGCCAAACAATATGAATTTTATAAGTGATCAAAATGTATCTAGAGAGCAAGATGATTGCAAATAAATAGCGCAGTTTTTTGTTGTCAACATGAATATTTCAAGTCAAAACATTTACATTTATATAAGGTAAAGTATGTTTTAGATGCTACACCAAATGATTAAAAACAGTTTAACAAAAAAGTTTTACTGCATACAATTATTTTTTAGCATTTTTAATAATTTTTGTATAATAATTATATACATAATAATTATGTATATATACACATACACAAACACATACATATATACATATACATGACGTATAATGATTTTCAACAGGCAAATTAAAAAAAAAAAGTTTTTTTTTTTTAAGTAATATCTTTTGTAGTTGTTCAAACATTAAGAATGTTGTGTACAATAGGGCTGGACGATATGGCCAAAATTTATATCACGCTATATTTCTTAATTTCGGTCGATATCGATATGAACACTATTAAAAAAGCCTCAAAAACGGCCACAACAGTCTGTACCTACAAACTTATGAAAAATTAATTTGCCAACTCTATGAAACCTACTCCTATAAAACTATATAATATTTTAGGAAAAAAATGGCGCAAATAAATAAATGTTCACCTTTTATTGGTATTTAGCCTTCATACAAACAAGAAATGTGAAATCACTGTCAAATAAATCTGAGACTCACCTTATTAATATTAATATTTTTTACTTCAAACTATAGGCAAACATACCAGTCAAAAGTTTTTGAACTAAGATTTTTAATGTTTTTTAAAGAATTCTCTTCTGCTCACCAAGCCTGCATTTATTTGATCCAAAATACAGCA